CAAACATAATAAAAGCCATAACCATGGAGTCTTAACTATTACCCTTTACTCAAATGATTATAGACAATGATTAATGAAATTAGGGGCAAAACCCAAAATAATCCATGTCTGCTTAAGGCAGAGAAAAAGTTCTAAATGTAAAAGCTATACAGGGTGCCCGGGTAGCTCTGTCAGTTAAGCATCTGACTCTTAATTTCTGCTCAGGTCATGATCTCAGGGCTGTGAGATTGAGCCGTGTGTGTTGGGCTCTGCCCTGGGCCTGGAACCTGCTTAAGATTCTCTCTCCTTCCGCTCCTCCGCCCCTCTAAAATAATAAAAACTTAATATTCAAGCTATGAAGTTATATTCACAAATAGCTTTAAAAATCCTATTTGTTAGTATATAACTGGATTCTAGTATCCCTGCTGAAATTTTAAATTTCAAGTTTACCGTCACATTAATACTTCTGCTCTTTTATAGGAGGTAGGAGAAAGATTGATTTTTTTTTAATTTTTATTTATTTGTGATAGTCACAGAGAGAGAGAGAGAGAGGCAGAGACACAGGCAGAGGGAGAAGCAGGCTCCATACACTGGGAGCCCGATGTGGGATTCGATCCCGGGTCTCCAGGATCACGCCCTGGGCCAAAGGCAGGCGCCAAACCGCTGCGCCACCCAGGGATCCCAGAAAGATTGATTGAAAGGATTTATTTATTCATGAAAGACAGGGAGAGAGAGAGAAAGAGAGGCAGAGACATAGAGGGAGAGGCAGGCTCCCCGTGGGGAGCTTGATGCAGGACTCAATCCCAGAACCCCGGGGAATCACGCCCTGAGCCGAAGACAGACACTCAACCACTGAGCCACCCAGGTGTCCCCAGGAGAAAGATTTTAAACAAATTTAAAAACCCAAATTTTAATTTGGCCCATCTTACTGGTTATTCTTTGGCTAAAAACACATACTTCAATAATTTCAAAAGCTGAATGTGAGCCTTCCCCTCAAAAAGTCTTTTATGGCCAATGATACACGATTTTAGTTTAGTTGCCCATAGTAGAGAATATTCTTATTTTACAAAACCTTAAAGTTCATACCTACATGTCCATTACCTCCTTACAAGAAACTGGAATTTTATGGTTGAGAAAACTGAAAATCAGAAGCTAATGACTTTAGAACTAGCTGTTGGGAAACGTATTTGTCTCCCAACAAATATACTACCGAGTGTCTGTAACTACTGATGTTTACTGTTTGAATTTGCATTATTACCTCAACTCCTACATAGGCTAAACAGCCCAAAATTGAATGTAATTCTGAGTTCTTTAAACTGAAGAGTTTATCTTACTAAAGTGGTTCAATATTTAAGTTTTACAGGGATCCTTTCTCAAACTAAAGAAAATGTACTATAGTTTCTCTGTATTTATCTTTTTGTTTTTCTCAATTGAGGGCAATTCTAAATTCTTATTTGTTTCAGGACACTTGGTAATTCACCAGTTCATACAATGGAAGATAGTTTTTATTATAAAGAAAATGAAATACTTTCACTTGCTTATAGGGAGAATTCAAGGTCAGAAGGTAAGAATACACATTATGGGAAAAGACTCTTGGGATGGTTCCATATTTATTGTTTTACTTTTATGTATATAGATTTAACTCCAGCTAGCAATGGACTCAACGGTCACAACAAATGAAACTATTTTTGTTTCACCAAACTCTACAGAACAAGCTACAAGCTACACGAGGAAATTTTGAGCAAAATGAGCGCCATCAACCACGATTTTATACGGCAGAACATAGTTAATTACCAAAACAGTTTAAACATTTAAAATGTTTGGTTTTGTGCATATTGGAAGATATTGAAAATATTTATTTTACAGCATTTCCATTTAAAAGAATTACCAAAGAGATAGCTATATTTTTACCTACTTTGTATAATCACACTTAAAAAAAAAAGACATCAAAATCCACTTGATTGATTTTCTCCCTCTCCTCTGAGACTCTGGTCCAAAATATGTCAACTCTTGATTTTCTTAAATGGTTTATCCACTTTCTAGATTCCCATAATAGCCTGGAGTCTTTTCCCTTCATTACCCTAGCAATTTCCAGGCTCTCAAAAGGCAGTGTTGGGATTTAATTAGACTATAGTATGATGTGGAGTATGTTTCCCAATGCATATATTTGCCAAAAATAATTTTTGTACTGTTTTGTTACCCATTAAAAAACTCTTTACCCCATCATTACTGCAAATAAGTCTTGATCAATGTTTGAATTTTACCATGTAAACTTAACTTCCCAATTCTGATATTTAAAAACCTACTTTATGTAGCTTATAAAAATCTGAATATACTTTTTAAATGAAAGTTTTGTTGTCTGAGTTATTTGGAAGTTTTTGTGCTTAATATACAGTAAATATGAATTAAACATATGAAAAATATACATATCTGACTGAAATGTTTCACAACCTAAAATGCTTATAAGAAAATTACATATTTCTCATTGTAAAAATCTGGTAACAAAACAATATAGTATAGCTTTGCAACTTAATATCTAAGTCAGCAAGGATACCCATATACTCTCCTTTCCTTCTATCTTTGGGTACTTTGAAGTGCCACTAAAGGAATTATTTGGGAATTATCAATGTCATTATCTTCTCAAGAGACGTGGTTTCAAAGAAAAACGGTATCTTATTTTATCATAGGGTAAAAATACAAAGAAAGATTTCTGCTCTTCTTTGGTCCAGAAATGAAATTATTTTCTTTTCCTTCTCTTCTGAGATTTTTAGAAATTTCTGATTCTTTGCCCTAATATTAAAAAAAATTACACATTTTTATCTTAAAAACTAAATTAAAGAGAATGTGCTAATCTATATTCCACAAACAGAAGGGAGGGTGGGAAGCAGGCAGTAATGAAATGCACTGTTTGTAAAGAACATAAACCTAAGGGTGCCTGGGTGGCTCGGTCAGTTGAGCAGCTGACTCTTGATTTTGGCTCACGTCATGATCTCAGAGTTGTGAGATGGAACCCAATGCTGGGATCTGAGCTCAGCAGGGTGTCTGCTTTGGGATTCTCTCTCCCTCTGCCTCCCCCCGTCCCACTTTCTCTCTCAAATAAATCTTAAAAAAGAACATAAGCATAAAAAAACAACTAAAAGTTGGCCCACTTTTCACATTCACCATGTACCAGTGATAGTGTCGATTCCTCTCTGAGGTAGAAGGTTCCAACCTTGCATATGCCCCATCCCCCACCCCTTTGGTAAGCCAATGAAAGAGACTCACCTCATCTTTTCTTACAGTCTCCTGGCTTATTTCTTATAAAATGTCCTCATCTCAATGAGATTAGTTGATGAGAAAGTGCTGTCCTTATACAGAACCAATCAATCATTACTGATTTTCTTCATGCCCAAATCAATGGTTTGTGTGGCTTTATAGCGAGTTGCCAGGAAAGCAAGGATAAATATAGGACTGCTAGAAGAACAGACTATAAGAGAAAGCAAGATCTTTAAACAAAGTATTAAGCTATAGCTTTTGCACAGAGATTAATTAAAACTAAACTGTAGGTGAAGAAAAAAAGTCCTGAAAATGAGAGTTGCATTTGGTAAAATGTAAAGAAGGGCATACTTGAGTTAGATAAACAAAGAAAAAAATATTGTATTAAATTTAAAATCAGTATTGAGTATACCACATAGTTTACAAAGTACCTTTCCATAAAATACATGATCTCATTTGAGATCTCAACAATTCTGTGAGGCAGTATCCCACTATAACCAAGTGGGATGCAGTATACAGAACTGAGGATAGAATATTGGCTCCACCACATAGTAATTATGTGACCTTGGGGATATTACTTAACTGCTTTGTACCTTGGTTTCTCAAATTAAAAACAAGCTTGATGAATGTCTCTAACTCATCGCTATTGTGGGATTAAATGAGATAATACATTAACACACTATATCTGGTTCATGGTAAGTCTCAATAATACTATTAGTGTTGTAATTTTACAGGTGAAGAAACATACGAGGGGAGATTAAATTCAAAGTCATATGACTACTAAGTAGAAAAGCTAACAGAATGCTAGACTGGCTACACTACCCTTATTACCTATGAATATCTACTTTCATTAGAGTATGGATTAGTTTGTTACACTATTTTTTAGGGTTTTTTTTTTTTTTTGCAGCTGACAATGTCATTTGAATTTGACAAATTCAACATTATTAACAACATTTTCTATTTTAGAACACTTCTTTTAGTGGGAATAAAAGTTAATCACAGGCATTAAAAATAAATGGTCTCTATGGACAACTGAGGTGGAGACTACAATCCAGGGCTGGAAAAAGTTAATTTTGGTTTTTCTTTAAACCTCAGAAAAATGGAAAGCCTATTAGTTGGTAGACAGCAGAAAGACTGCGAGCTCTGTGAGTGGAGGGATGCTTCTTTACTGCTATATCTTAAAGCTACAGAACAGTGATTAGTAGGTGCCCAAATGTTTAATGAATATTTAGATTAAAAAATCAACTTTGAAACATATCCTTAATAGGATTTGCTTTACTTTGACATGCTTTCCTTTCTATTTTTAATTATACAATAACTAAAATGTCTATTATATAGTCACCTACCCATAAAATGGGGGATTTTTATCAAAAGATTCAGAGTAAGAAATAAAAGACTAAATAAGGCCTTAAATAGCTTTATTGAAATCTGTATAAATAAACATGCACATTTCAAATGTAAACTCAAGTGAACTCAAGTGCAGACAAAATTTTAACCTCTGTCATGCAGGAGGTTAGTTTACATTAAAAAAAAAAGAAGAAAAAAAAGAAAAGAAAGAAAAAAGAAAGAAAATAAAAGAAAAGAAAGAAAAGAAAAGAAAAAAAAAAAAAACCCAAAGCAGCTTTTAAAATACCAGGATGAAAAACCAGCTTTAATATCAAGGTATAAAGCAAAGCCATGATCAACATACCTCATTTATCCTGGTCAAATGCATTTTTTTTTTAACTTTTAAATGCTAACATAAATAAATAATTTACCAAAATGTGCACTCACAGAGTGAACTTTTATTTACAATACACAATTTATAATCTATTGTATTTGATTAGTTCAAGTGAAGAACATTATACTTTTTGCTTTAATAACAGTGGGACACAAAGCAATTTCTCAGGTAGTCGATATGTGAAATGTGCCCCAGCATTTAGATTTTCTATTAAAGGCAGTATTGTATGCCAATCGACAATACATTCTTTCAACTAGATCAAAGGGAAAAAGCAGCAAATGAAAAATGTTTCAAATGTTCACACATATTTTTGGCATCCTGGATCCTTGAATGTGGTGAACTAAAATCAAATTCAAGGTTTGTATGCTTTATATACTATACAGGTTCTGACTCTAGAACATGCAAATGCCAATTTTCTTAATTAACAAGTTACCTTCTGAGAAAAGCTGTAAGGCTATGGTGAATTCCATCAGGAACACACAAAGAAAGTTAACAGACCTACCTTTAAAGCCAATTGTCCATTAATGATTTAAAGGCCAGTATATTAAAAAAATTTCTCATCTAAGCTTGATGTAATTATTACTATGGATACAGAATACTATTAAGTCTGTCCTTATATTACAATAATTGGAAGAGCTAAAAGTTGCCAAATTACCAAAAATGGGGTAGAGAAAAACAGCAAAAATTTTAATTTTGGACCAACACTAGATTAAAGATATGCATTTTAAAGCAAGTCAAAATTTTTTTGAATATCTAAGGAATAGATCCCAATAGCAGTAAAAAATACTTACATTTAACTGAAAAATGATTTTAGATGGAGTGTGAAATCTAGAACCTGTTTTCCACAGCAGCAAGATGAACATAATCTGGATTTTTAATGATACTACAAAAGAAAATAACTTTTCAAAGATTGTTTCTTATATCATGATTTGGTTCTTTAATAGGCCCATATTGATTACCAGGGATAGATTTGAAAATTTGGTTTTCCAAGAATACTACTGCAGTATTTATGCCACATTGATACCGCAGCTAAATATCATAGTAGTCGTGGCAGCCTAATGCACATGAACTAGATTATCCAAAAACTAAGTTCAGCCATAGTTTTCTTGCAGTATTATTAGAGCAAAATAAATGACCAACATCCACAAATTTAACATTTGTCATCAATTAACTCACATCCAAAAAATTAAAGAAAACATAATTCATCAAAACAGCAGCAAACTTAAAAGGGATTTATTTGTGATTTCCTATATATATTTAGCTTGTAATTACAAGACTGTAAATGTATTAAGAGACAATTTCTGTTAAAGTTTTCATTGTGTTTCACTTCAAGTACTGCACAAGTTAAAATCTGATAAAGGATTTACATTCGGTTATCTGAAACTCCCCATCTCAGACTTTTGTTTAATGTGGTGGGTAACTTCATCATTTCAACAGATACCACCAGCAGGAAAGTCTCTCTTTTATGGCTTCTAGGACTTTCATTAGTTAGTGTGCATACAGTTTTCATTTTCTATATCATTGTCATTATCATTGCTATCTTCATCACTTTCTAATGGGATGCCTGTGGCAGCTGAAGCACCTTTAGTTTCTCGGTCAAGAGGAAAAAAGCCAGTTCCACTGAAAGTGTCTTGTCTCTGGTAGAAAAGTACATATGCTGCTTTGGACTGTTGAAAAAACAAAGCATGTTAAAATGGTCATGATTCTCAAAGATCACATTAAGTATACCATAAATGTTTCAGCTGGTAACCAAAAGACTTTGGTGACAGAGCCTAAATCAAATTTAAAAACCACAAATGGTCAAATGGAATTTACTAAAATTGGTTTATATATAAGACAACTTCTATGTATAAAGAAAGAATACTCACTAGAATTAACATTTTTATTCTCTATTACATTGATCGAACAGATAAGTAAATGCAAGTATATCACAGATTAACCTAGCTACTCTAACATGAAACAATTCTATGCCTTCTTCCCTCCCATCTCTAAGGAAAAGGTAAGCTTCTTTCTACTACTAATGGCTTCACTTGAAGTTTGCTATGAGTCCAGTTCTTCCTACCGTTTTAAGGATATTGCTCCATCCATCATCACCGCGTATCCTTACTAAGTCCTCCTCTACTGGACTTCTTAGCGTAACAAATACTCAAGTTGTTTCCATCTTAAATCCCTTTCCATTCTACTGCTTCCTCCAGGTGCCAGTCTGGCAGAGAGTCATCAAATATTCATTTTCACTCTCATGCATACTCTTTGATTCAGTATGATCTTTTGCCCCAGTCACTGTAATAAAATGGCTTTCACTGGGCAGCCCAGGTGACTTAGAGGTTTAGCGCCGCCTTCAGCCTGGAGCCTGATCCTGGAGACCAGGGATCGAGTCCCACATCAGGCTCCCTGCATGGAGCCTGCTTCTCCCTCTGCCTGTGTCTATGCTTCTCTCTCATGAATGAATAAATAAAATCTTAAAAAAAAATGGCTTTCACTAAGGGCAATAACTTGCTATAAACAAATCAAATGGGTGCTTTTAAAAGTTCTTTTAGTCATACTCTCTGTAGCATTTAATGCTTTAGTCCTCTTTCCGCAACAAACAATTTTTGGCTTTTGTGACACTACTTTTCCTTAGATCTTCTATCTCCATGGTTGCTTCTGACTTTTTCTGTGGGCTCATTAAATCCTAACCTTAAAAAAAAAAAAAATCATGTTCTGTCCACCGCCCAACACTCTTTCTCAGTATCTTCTCACTAGGTGGCTCATTCAAACCTATGGCTTCAACTGCTACCTAAGAGCAATAATGCAAATCTGTAACTTAAGCTAGTTCTCACTTCTGAACTCCAGTCCTGGTAGTCCCACCACCTAGTAGAAATTTCTCTAGAGCTATCACATAAGTAGCTGACATTTCAACAGCAAACTTTCCTCCTGTATTTTCTACTGTGGCGAACACTGAAGTCAGTCATCTTCAACTTCTCCCTCTGTGCATCTACATCTTCATTTACAGCCAATCTTCACCAAGTTCTATTAATTCTATCCAGGAAATATCTTATAAATCCATTTCCCCCTTTGTCTATAAATTACTACCACAGTTACTCTACCACAACTTTCAATTCAGAAGCCTGTATTGATGAAATGACAGCCTTCTTTTTGCTGGAGGTTGTAATGCTCTTTCTGCTTTTCTCAGAGCTTCCCAAATTTATTTTATTTTTATTTTTTTTGAAATAGGCCTAACTGGTGTGTGTGTGTGTGTGTGTTTTTATGATAGTCACAGAGAGAGAGAGAGGCAGAGACAGAGGCAGAGGGAGAAGCAGGCTCCATGCACCGGGAACCCGACGTGGGACTCGATCCCGGGTCTCCAGGATCGCGTCCTGGGCCAAAGGCAGGCGCTAAACTGCTGCGCCACCCAGGGATCCCGAGCTTCCCAAATTTAATAATGCTCCATTACTTAACAATCACTCATGCTTCTCGTCTTTAAGGAAAGCTCTAAACCGTGAAGTACGTCATCTTTTTTTATCTGACTGCCAAGTTTAGCTTTAGTCTAATTTCTGCCCCATATTTAAAACAAGTATATCCTTTCAGTAATACCAAATTATTTGCTGCTCCCCTAAATATCATGTTCTCTCATGCCTCCTTGGTTTTGTAGGTACTCTTTTCTCTGCTTAGAACAACTTTACTACTTCTTTTTTTTTTTTTTTTTGTAACAACTTTACTTCTATTTCTAGTGGCAGACTCAGGTCAAAGACCACTTTCTCATGCAAACTTCCCTACACTGGTCCTATCTCCTTAAACTAACCTAAATCGGTGGAGATGGCTATCAAGATGCAAGGTAACATCAAATACATGTATTGTATATAAACAAGATATATTGTTTATTTGAAGGCAAGATTAGGGCAGGACTGTCAAAGACACATTGAAGGAGGCTGTAGACAATTTCAGGATGTTTTGGTTGGGAGATTTAGAAAGGAGAACACAATTAATTGAAAAGCGATGGTTGAGACTTGAAATTAGAGGTCTAAATATAAACTGGAAATGTAATTAACTTAGGCATTTATGTATTTTAAAAATATTAGCATTCAAGGCTCTTTGTGTTACAGCTATAGGGACATAAGCAACAGTATACACACGTAGATAAACATATAAATTATCTTTAGAGAAAAAACTTAAAATTATTTCATATCTGTTCACCCAATGGTGGATTAAAACTATGTCAATAATTGGACTCAGAAGTTCATTAATTTATTAAATTTAATGATATAAATTGAAGACTTTTAAGGCATAACAAACTAAAGAAAAAGCTAGTCTCTGTCTTCAAAGAATGTAAAATTTAAACTGGGAAATGAAGAGGTCAGTGCTACTCACACTAAAAGAAAATGTAGTTCTACATGGAAATATGAGTTCCATGCTCACAAGAGCAAACATTAGATTCCTTATTATTTGTACTATTGTGATCAGTAAAATTTTAGAAAGGCAAACTTTAATAGAGAAAAACCCTTATCAAACCAAGTCTTAGCTTTCTTCTTAGAATAAACTTGTCATCCTTTCACCAGTCAATATTTGATAATAAAACCATGCTCTGCTGGGAAGCAAAACAAATGTCAATAGTTTGCCTCTAGCTGTGGCTGATAAACTGATATAAATACAAAAGATGTTACTCCCTCATTTTTCTACTCTTCAGAAAATATCAGATACTCAAGGTTAATTTTTTAAAAATTTTCTAATTTGTTTCATCTAATCATGTAATTTTGAGCTTAAATGTTTAAGTGTCACAAAGGGATAAGGCTTTACTTTAAAAATCATAGGTATGGTAAAAAAAAAAAAAAAAAAAAAAAACCTTTAAAGAATTTTTTTTTCTAAAGAATTTTACTAAAGAATTTTAGTACTCTGATTTTAAGTAGTCAATGTCCCAAAATGTCTGAGCCTGTTTTCCAAAGGAAAATTTTATTTTCATTAGAAAACTCCATTTTTCAGGTTGAAAACTACAAGAAAAATTTTCATGATGCAATTTATGCTTCTATTAGTGGGCAAATTAGGAGACAAATTTCCACTTACAGGACAATTTCACATTTCTTTAAATCAGAGAAAGTGTCTCTTCACTATCAGAAACTGCTAAAATACAGACTACAGTGTTCCATGGGGAGCTTTTAAAAAAGTGATGGCTGAGATTTTTAGGAAATAAAAACACACTTACCACAATCTGGTCTTCAGATGCAGTTGAGACACTACTGTCATCAAAGTAGTACCATTTTCCATCATCTTTGTTTTTTGCGAAAGCAGTATCTAATGAAAAAATATAATCACTTCTGTGACTGAAATGATCTATGGTTTCTGGGGGGGGGGGCGGCAAAACTTTACAATCATCTATATAAGGAATACGTATTAAAATTACATGAAAATCATTTACAAAGGCCTATCTATTACACATCCAACTTATTCCATTCCATTGATTAAAGGCTTTAATATATTTCCTACAACCTAAATGCCTAAGGTACTTTTCAAATAAGTTGAAATCTGTGATTTTTTTCATCCCAAGGACAGATTTATTATTTTTCAATTCACAGAATAATACTAATGACAGACAATAAATGAGAATTAATATTTATGCAGTACTTATTGTGGATCAATGCTATGTACTTTATATGCATTATCTCACAGAGGAATTATTCCTCTAATTTTAGAAATGGGGAAAGTGAGGCATCAAAAGTAGTTTAATCTAACAGGAAACTGTTAAGTGGCTGGGTTAGCATCTAAACCCAGGTCTGTCTCTGACTCCAGAGTTTGACATTTTAATCAAAATTTAAATTTTGTATGACAAATACTTTTTCTATAATACTATCTCATTGATTTGTAATTTTTACACCAAAATCCTTTTCAGTCTTTAACAAAAGTACTGAGCAAGAGAAAAAGTTTTGTACTTTTTACAATTTGTACAAAAATTGTACAAAACTTTGTACAATTTATAAAGATTTGCTTTATCTTTAAAAGTTAGAAATTCCCCCTTTATACATCCCATGCTTTGTCTGAACTATCCAATAAACTCTGGGAAACAAAGCTGCAAAATGTCTACAAAATAATTATCTGTCATAGCTTCCAAAAAGTGATACTTTAGAGGCTGTATCTTCTAAATTGTTCTACCCCTCCCAAAACAAAATTATTGCTCTCCTGGGTGGAGCCTATTGCGGAAGTTGTCAGTTGAACTGAAGTGCACTGTACCTACAAATTAAAAGAAACATTCTCAGAATGAATAAAAAGACAAGATTTAGCAATAAAATGGTTTATAAGAATAAATCCAACAAAAAGGACCCAGAGTTTGCAAACCAAGTGATATTGAGAGAAAAAAAATACATCAAATACTAGTAAAAGGAACAACAGAGAAAGAAGAGCTACCCATTTTAAACATAAATGCAACTACTAATGCAAAACTAATAAAATTGTTAGTAGAAATACATAAATCAATATTTTAATAAGAATGACAAATTCTCAGAAATATTACAAAATATAAAAAATAACCTGAGATACTAATGATCTGAAATATAACTGATAAGCTTCAAATATAAGAAATATAGAATTTTATGTCTGGATGGGGAATATGTATGTTTTTCAAGCACACAAACATTTAAGAAACAGACCATGTATTGGGGCACATGGATGCTTTAATAAACTAAGGATTAATATAGGCAATATCTCCAACTGTTGTGTAATAAAATTAAAATTAAGACAAAAGGAGAGCTTAAAAAAACATGTATGTTTAGAAAAGCGTATGATTAAATGCCCCTGGACATTAGAAATTAGAAAATCATAAAGGAAATTAAAAATATATATAGAATTAAAAGTAGATGAAAATACTACATTTCAAAGTTTATGGAACAGAGATAAAGTAGTGTTTGGAGGGAAATTTATAGCTTTAATTATAGACGTCAACTGAGGAGAAAAAATGTAAAGCAAAAGCTAATAAAGCACTCAAACCAAAACTTAAAAACAGAGCAACATAGCAAACTCAAAGTAACAAGAAGAAAAACATAACAAAGGGAAGAGAAGAAATCAGTGAGAGAGAATACATACATAGTAACAAAAAAAATTTAATAAAGCATGATTAGTAATCAAAAGCTAATTCTCTGAGCAGATTAATAAGATAGACCTTGCAGAAAACGGACTAAAAAGAAAATAGAGGAACAAAAAAGGGAAAAAGATATAGCATAGTAGCATATGTAAGTATTCTCAAACTGGAAAACACAGATACATTTTTAGAAAAATAGAAAATACCATAATGCTTACATCTTGGGAAAAAGAAGACTGAACAGATTTCAATAAGCATGACATAAATAGAAAAATGTATGGGTGTGAAGCCCAGATAATTTTACAGGAGAATTCTACTAGACTTTCATGAATAGTTAATTCCTATACTATACTACCTGCTTTAGGATATAGAAAAAGAGTAAAGTATTCCAGCCTGTTTATTACTAGAGTAGACTACGTAATCTTGATTCCAAAGAACCATATAAAAAAATTAAAAGACCATTTCACTTATGAATGACATTTTCACCCTAAATAAAATTAGTTCAGCAAATTCAACTGGGGATTTAAAAAAAATCCTAAAAGGTAAGTAAAAATCCTAAAATCCTAAATAAAATTAGTTCAGCAAATTCAACTGGGGATTTAAAAAAAATCCTAAAAGTAGTAAGTAAAGTAAGGTTTATTCTAGGAATGCAATGATAGTTCAACAGAAAAACCAATCAATTGGAGAGTGTGGGCTGGTATGACTGTCCTGGAGAGCCATCTGGGAGTACATAAATACTCTATAATGCAGCAATCTCACTTCTGGGTATGTTGCTCGAAGAAATTCCCCCACAGGGGACCATAAACGATATTTATTTTATTGGTCTTGTGGTGGTAGAGAGTTAAAGGCAATTTGGATGTTCACCATGCAGTGAGTAGAGACAGAAAATATGGCTAGATTTAAATCCTGAGTGGTTAGAAGCAATGAACTAAATGGCCAAAAAGTAACATGGATAAGCCTTATGTGTTAAGAAAAATATGTAAGATCTATAACACAGTACACCAATTATGTAAAAATTAATGATGCATGATTACTAACAACACATACAACAAGCACTTTAGAAAGAGAAGGAAAATGGAAAAGGACAGGAGTCCTGACCAGTGATGACCTGTACATGAAAACCGAGAACCATGATTAACTCAATCTTCTATTGATGTTTAAAAAAAAAAAAAAAAAAGGTTCAAAAGATAATTCATTCATTAATCAACATTTACTGAATCATTACTAATACGTAAAACACATTTACACATTTTCCCTTTCCTTTTCTCCCCTTTGTTTTTTTCGTAGGCTCCACACCTAATTTGGTGCTTGAACTCACAACCCCATGATCAAGAGTCACATGCTCTACTGATTGAACCAGCCAGACACCCCATATTTTCTAAGTAAAAAATATCTTAAGGAAAAAAGTCTGCAGTTATCAAACATCACAATTTTGGCAAAATGGTAAACGCAACTTACAGTGTCCTCCTCCCATTCCTCCATAGTGGTTGGAAACAGCAATCAAATTATAGCGGCAAGGACCTGCATTTGGATTAATTAAGAATTCCGACATATCCAGGTCACTGTTTAACAAAGAGATCAAGTTAGTTTTATGTTTTCCCTAAATGTCATTAATTCTATTACTTTCTGTCAATGTTGCATGGCTCTCATTTATATAAAAAAATAGCTCTCTCACTAAAGAAATCACTAAGAGCCAAATAATGGTAAAACATCTCTCTCTCTCTCTCTCTCTCTCTCTCTCTCACACACACACACACACACACACGCACGAACACAAACATACACACCTGAGATTTGACTATTGCAGCAAAAACTTTTCTTAGGGGTTGGGAATTTTACAATTCTCTACGGATGGCTGTTTATTCAGCTTAATGTTTTCATGCTAATACATTTAACTCTCACAGTATATAGTACAATAATCATTACCACTTGCCATTGGGATTCTTTTCATTTTTCGTAATTTTGAAGTCATTTTTAGAATTAAATAATTAAGGAAGATAAATGATATTAAAAAAAAACTTTCACAGAAATCTTATAATATAATTTCACAGAATCTAGATATATCTAGACCCCAATATTTATTCTACATTTTCCTGTTTCCGATGATCTATATACCCCAAGTAGGCAACACTCTTCAAAACGCAATCAACTGTTGTGTAATCTGTCATGTATCAAAATGGAGCATGACCATTTTATAGCTTATCATTATTCAGTTTTTTTGGACTTCTATCACTAAAAAGCAGTAATGATTCTAAATTTCAAATATGTCTCTCATAGTTTCTAGCTTACCATTACTTCTGGTTCTTCTTGTACTTACATTGTCAAAATGCTATATATTCTTGAGAAAATTTTGATGGCTCATAATTTTGTTAAGGAGAAAAATTACCATTTTTTTCTGGTAAAAAATGATTTTTTTAAAAAAAATCTCTATTTATTCATGAGAGACACACAGAGAGAGGCAGAGACATAGGCAGAGGAAGAAGCCTGATGCAGGACTCGATCCCAGGACCCCAGAATCATGCCCTGAGCCAAAGGCAGATGCTCAACCACTGAGCCACCCAGGTGCCCCTGCAAAACGTTTTTATTTTTATTTTTTATTTTTTTTAAATTTTTATTTATTTATGATAGTCACAGAGAGAGAGAGAGAGAGAGGCAGAGACGCAGGCAGAGGGAGAAGCAGGCTCATGCACCGGGAGCCCGACGTGGGATTCGATCCCGAGTCTCCAGGATCACGCCCTGGGCCAAAGGCAGGCGCTAAACCGCTGCGCCACCCAGGGATCCCTGCAAAATGTTTTTAAACTTAACTTTATAAAACACCAATCAGAATAAGCAATCCAAAGAATGTTTGCAATATCATATCTATTTCTTTTTTTTTTTTAAAGGTTTTATTTATTTTCGTGAGAGACACACAGAGAGTGAGACAGAGAGTGAGGGGCAGAGACACAGGCAGGCCCCATGCAGGGAGCCCAACATGGGACTCGATCCTGGGTCTCTAGGATCAGGCCCTGGGCTGAAGGTGGTGCTAAACCGCTAAGCACCCTGGCTACCCCATCTATTTCCTTCTAATCACACACACCTGCCTATGGTAGTTGTTTAGTTATTAACTGTATCAAACACCTGGTGCACAAATATAAAATATAGAAAAGAATACTATCAATGTTCTTTTAGTAAAATGGGAGAGTACCAAGTTATTGCTGTAAAGTATTGTGTGAAGTCCTTCCTGGATCACGTGAACGAGAATATATACAATTTCATTTTTGTCCTTATGAATTCTCAATTAAATTTAGTGAAAGCTTAAAAAAAAAAAAGACTACAAAGATGCTATCTCCAGACTTTTTACAAGAATGATATAATACTCTGAATAATGCAATAAACTGAAGTATGACACATCAGGGATAATTGAGTATACTACTTTGTTCATCCTTTTCAGCAGTTGCATTACTGTTTAATATTACTTTCACCTTTTTAAAAAAGTATACTTGAGAATAATTGATGATTACTGATGAAATAATTCCTAGGGAAAAAAAAATCACTACGATTCCATAGAGTATCTTAGATTTAAAAACAGTGCCAATGAACCCATATGATAATGCAACACAGAATTACTTTTATTCTACTGTTTAAGAAGGTGTATTTCCTCTTTGTTCTCTGAAAAATATCTAAAAAGGAATAAAAATTCTTACTGATCCTTACCAACTGCTGAACTACTCACAAATACACTTAAAAATTGAAGTTGGATCCAATGCTACCTGATTTTTATAAAAATCTACAGGTGTCCAATATTTATACGGCATAATTAAAACTTACTTGATGGGAAAATCAACTAAGGTATCCAATTTGTCTCTCATGTATCGACTGTAAGAAAATCGCTTGAGATGTACCACAAGTACTGGAGGCAGGGACCATAAATCCAATTTCTTTGTGGCTTGCTGATGTTCTTTACAATTTGGACAATACCTAAAAATAAAGAGAAATATTTAAAGCTTGCTAGGGGCAATGAAAATAATAGATAAAAAAATATGTGGCAAATTCTACATTTATTCAGTGGGCAATTATATATGCCTAATACATACCAGACTAATGAACTCCCTTATTATTTTTATCTTCAATCAAATAGATTTAATATTATAAAGTAACATGTAAATAAGTATTCAAAGAAATGAAGACTATTTACATTTTAGTAACCTAAAAGAATACAAAACTATTTTGAGAGATAAATATCAGCAAATCTCAAAACTTCTGGGCTTTAATGGAATTAATAACACCACAAAACCCATGATTTCCCTAAAAACCATTTCTATCAAAATGGCTACACAGCAAAAAATTCTTGGGAAAAAGTAACTAAAATTAATTATCCACAGTAAAATACTACTATAGAAAATATAGTAATGAGATTAAAGCTTAATGTTATAACAACAGTTTTAAAGCATTTGAATCACTTATTTATTTAAATTAATTAATTAATTAATTAATTAAATTCATGAGAGACAGAGAGAGAGGCAGAGACACAGGTAGAGGGAGAAACAGGCTCCCTACAAGGAACCTGATATGGGACTCAATCCTGGGACCCCGGGATCATGTCCTGAGTCAAAGGCAGACACTCAACCACTGAGCCACCCAGGTGTCCCTCAAATCACTTTTAATGGACTATTTTCATTTAAAGAAATGCTTTATTAAAATATCAAAGGGAATTTAGTTATTGCTTTTGCAACTTGATATATCACATACCTCAGTACAAATCCTTAAAAAATAATTAGAAGCAATATTTTAACTTTGTCTCTTACCAGGGATCTTCAGCACCTAGCTTTTCTTTTGTTGTAAAAAGTTCAATGCAATCTTTTAATTTCACAAAGGGTTTTTTAGGAGGTTTATATTCCACACTTTCATGTTTTTCAAAATCCTAAAGAGAAGTATTTCTTGAGTTAAGAGAACAAATGAAACAAAACTCATTTTAGTGATACCATCTTACTATGAATAGTAATGAAAAACTCCTAAACTTTCTCAAAAGAATTTCAAAGCTTATTTCAGCTGAGATTTACACATTTCTAAAAAACTTCTATATACACACCTATATGGATAATAATTAAAACTGTTAACAGAAAGCATGTCTGCAAACCAATAAGCCTTTTCTAGTACATAACCATTTTTCTATTAGCACAATAAAAATATTTGGTGGAAGCAAAAGATTATAATAAAATTGTGATCAACATGGGAAAGATATGGAATGAGTGATGGCTTACCTCTGCAGCATTTTCATCAAAATATCTTTTTTTCAAATCAGGATCCCAATCCAAAGCAAGAAATGATCTTTCTAAGATGGAAAACATATTTTTTTCTTTAAAACTTAATATGTCTTCATTAAAATGAGCATATTTTAATGTTAAGATATATACCAGAATAAACAATCTCTTCTATTTGCCCTAGGTGATCAGGGCAATTGCTGTTTCCAAGCCATTAAAAATTTAAGGAGTTAAAAAAAACATACAAAACTTAAGCGTAAGTCTAACTTCCATTTAATAAACAGTGACAAATTTTAGTATACTTGTAATTAAGGCTTTTAAGATATAAATATAGATTTTATACAGAAAAGTGACGCTATTTTTTCATGACTGTTTCATAGTTTTCACCTAAAAAAAATACAACATGCTTTGCTCAAGTTCAGTGCTCAAGCCAGTTTTCACACTTACCATCTAGCCTAAGCTGCCTCTCATCAAATCTTATATGCCTGGTATCATCTTTGATGTAGTTGATATCAGTATTGCCTAAATTGTTGAACTGGAATGTAAACAATCTTTTTTTGTGTCCCGTGAGTTGACCTTTGCAAGTTTCCTCAGTACATAATCCATTTTCAGAATCATTATCTCCTCCAACTGAATCCTCAGACTGACTGTTTTCATTTTCGGAGGGAAGTTCTTGATCCTGGCTGGATTCATCATCTGGCTCATCTGTTTCCATTTCACCTAATTTTAGATATTAGAAATCTTTAAACAAACCCAGAGCTACATTTAAAAGTTATTAATATTAACATTATTTCTCCCAGGCTTGAAGAGATTTTTTAGCTCCTTAACTCCCATCCTTTTTTCTGAGGCAACAATCCAGGTGAAACGTTTTATAATTTAATAGGGAATTCTTACTTGGTGAGCCTTCTTCATGTATGCCATTTGGGCCATTCCCATTAATATTTTGGTCCTTACAGCAGTGTAGGGATCCTTCAGTTTCTTCAGCTTCAGTAGAAATTTTGACATATCGGCTTAAATAAAATCAGAAATCAAATTTAGTTCTATGAAGGTAAAAACTTAAAGTTTTCTATTCTTTCAGTAAAACAAAAATTTTTAATGGGCACTTAGTAGATTCAAGGATAAATCAAACTTAGGATATAGAACCATAAGTGCAAGGGACTAATCATTTCTGTTTTGGTTGTCTTTATAAAAAGAAAGAAGGTAATTTGTTACTTCCAAGTATTTAACACCTTTCTGTGTTAAATAAATTTGTGGCAAATAATTTCTTGACTTAGAATTATTATATAAATACCCTCATTTAGATTACTTTTACCTGTATAATGTGATCTTTATATATGGATTATGGGACTGTAATGATTTAAATAGGTATTACTAAATATGTCAGTTACAAAAGATAAAATATAAGGGATCAAATGGCAGTCTGGTTATGTTATAATTCAAATCAAGGTTTTAGGAAGACAAAAAGGGGTTGCCTTAAAATACTATCAACCATGAAAGTTTATCCTTTTAAATAAAACCATTAGCAGGAGTTCTTGAACAATCTGTATAAAGAAATGAAGCATCTGAAATTTGTTAAAATTTCAGAGTGCATACATGAGAAATTCCTATTTTTTTCCAACTGTAAACTTCTAGTTTAAAACAGCTAAAATAATTCATGCTTTCTGGGTTTGCAATTATCTCAGTAATGTGTTTTTACTTGGTCAGGAAACTGAAATAAACTATAATTTGATTTTTAAAATTGCTACCTGTTTAAACAAAGTTGAAATAATACAAGCTTATCAAAATATTCAGATAGTACACCACGTATTTACTTTTATTAACTATTCTATCACTCATTTTGTTAATGTAGAATTGTGTGACACTTACCACATTCTCAAAAGCAGGAGATTATAGAGCTTATCTTCAGTATTATTTCGTGGTACAGCCATAAGAAAAGGCTGGCCAAAAAGTGAAGAACCAGTATGGTGGGTATAACTTGAGTGTCTAAATTTTTCTCTTAGGCAAACAGGAATAACCACATGCTCTGTATCTTCTGTCCTATTGATGTTAATTTCAAACCTGTAAGGACAAAACTGACTGTAAAACTCTGAAAACTTTTATGTTATTCCCTCCGAATTTTTTCCCAAGTAATATTTTGCACAACGAATTTTATACTTACACATAAATATCGTCCCGTTCCATAATACTACTAAGGTTTTCATCCATAGCGAATATTCTGTGAAATCTATGATTGTATATATCAGTAACTATCATCTAAAAGGAAACATATTTCTATTAGGCTGGTTTTACATCACTGAAACACTAAATTCCAACTTATATACTTCAAACCCAGAAACACATTACCTTATCTGCAGGTACTCCTGACAAAGCAGACAATGCTGTACAAAGATCAAGTATGTTTCCAATTTTGGGGACAACCACTTTGTACTAAAAAACAAAAACAAAAAAAACTGTAATGAATGTATTACTTTGGAAGAAATACTCAGTAGATGAAAATGACCTCATGGTTGCCTCCTCACATTCACTTGGTATTTGGTTCACAGTGTCCCTCTCCAATCCTATCATTAATTCTGGCTGATGGGATCCCTGGGTGGTGCAGCGGTTTAGCGCCTGCCTTTGGCCCAGGGCGCCATCCTGGAGACCCAGGATCGAATCCCACGTCAGGCTCCTGGTGCTTGGAGCCTGTTTCTCCCTCTGCCTGTGTCTCTGCCTCTCTCTCTCTCTCTCTCTCTCTCTCTCTCTCTCTGTGTGTGACTATCATAAATAAATAAAAATTAAAAAAAAATCCTGGCTGATAATTTTTTTAAAAGATTCATTCATTCATTCATTATTTGACACATAGAGAGAGGCAGAGACACAGGCAGAGGAGACGCAGGCCCATGCAGGGAACCTGATGTGGGACTCGATCCCGGAACTCCAGGATCATACCCTGGGCCAAAGGCAGATGCTTAACCACTGAGCCACCCAGGCGTCCCCCTGGTTGATAATGTCTATATGGATAATTTATCTTCGCCTTATAGTTCCTTCGCTCTTTGATTCTGAGACCCACACTTACATTCAACTATAGTTCACTTCTTGCACCTTGTCATAAACTTGCCCCACCTCTGATATCTTAAACCTCTTATCAGGCTACTGACTGACTGATAGCTAATTATTATTCCTGGAATCTCATTTTCCCATTCTTGGCTTGCATTTAGAATTCTAGTTTTAATTCAAAATTTTCTCTGGATTTACCAGCTTCCTACTGTCTTCACGCCCTTCCATCCAGATCCCACAGGATCCATCACTTCAATACTCCACTGCAAAACGTTTAACTATTTTGTTATTCAATTTTATTCTTGCTATACTTTCTTGGAGCTGTTCAGATATGCTGGAGAAAACTGACCAATTTTAGAGACTGGTTTGCTACAAATCCACAGTGCTTAAATCTTAACAGATTGTTCAACACTAGCCAGAAATTCTGTGCATCCCTTATTTGCTTCTTCTTTCATTTTTCCCAGTAACTATACACAATCTTCACCATTCATTAGGCTTCCTTACTTTATAATTACTCCCTTCACTATCAGCAGAATACCAAAAAAAAGTAGGGGCTACTGGACAGGAAAATATCCAACTTTGTGTCCCTGAACAAACTTCTAAAAGGTCCTTTTCTCCATCTTTTTTCTACACAGGGAAAGAGAATCAGATGTTACCCTTCCCATCTTACCACTAGCATCTAATGTTCTGATTCCCATCCTGTTCTACTTCCTTGGGAACCTAACCCAGCAATCATCCTTTATGTCATTTTACCTTGATTCTTACGTAAGCAATGGAATAATCTACCAGTCTCTCAAAAAACCCACAAAAAACAAAATGCAAAAACCCAGTCCCTCATTGCCTTCCCTCTGATAATCCCCCTCTAGTTATCTTCCTTTCTCCTCTGCTTTATAAATATAACCTTGTTAAAAATAATGTCTATAATGACTATCTTAAATTCTTCACTTTCCATTCACTTATCAAACTACCCCTAGCTTTCTGTCCTCATCTATTTAACCTATTACCAAGGTTGTCAAACTCCTTTAGAATTTTACCCTTCACCCTCTTCTTGATTCTATATGCTCTCTTTAAAGCAGGTGACAATATATTCTAATTTGCTTTGTCTCAGCCCTGGATGAACCTGCTGTCCTGGTAATATAATGATTAATAATGGCCCCTTTTACTTTTAAAAGAGTTCTGGTTTAGATGATACATTACAGAGTCACCCTAGCCTTAGGGAATCTCATCCTTCTAAGACATTCAGTATCACTGTCATAGAACTCACTGCCCAATTTCTATCTCAACCAGACATCTCTCTTCTAGTCTAGATAGATAAACTTAATGCTTACTGATAAGCTCTACCTAATTTTCCTCATGCACCTCAACATGTCCAGTACTAAACATAGATTTAGGTCATGTTAGGGCAACATATCCAATATTACAACAGGCTTCTTCCTAAACCTTGCTTCCTATATATATCCCATTAAGGCAAATAGCACCAGTGTCTCCTCAGTTTTGCAACCCAAAAAACTTGGCATCATTTTTGAATACTCTTAAACAGTTTTACTTTTTTTTTTTCATTTTTACTTCTTATATTCAACTGATTCTTCTGTCACCCTGATACTAATCTTAAGAGTTCTAGTCATTTTCATTTGTCATGTGATCACTGCAAAACTCTCTTACATGGTCTTAGTATATCTGACCTAAGTTCTTCCAATCCAGTCTTTGCAGTAGCCTGGGTCTTCTTTCTCTAATAAAAATCTGGTCACATAGTGCTCTATTTAATAACCTTTAATGGCTCCCCTAATTTTTAGGATGAAGTCCAAACCTCCTATCATGGCAGCAAAGTTCTTTATGAGCTTTGTGAGTTCTTCTGCTTACCATATTATCTACTTCTAATTTCCAGAAGTGGGCCATGTCGTCTTTTGCCTTTCGGTCTTTGTATATGCCACTCTCTTGGTCTACAATACCTTTATTTCCAGCTTTCATACACTTAAAACCTAATCATCCTTCAGGATTCAACACAGGCATTGGCAGTTTGGGTGTATCATTCCTTTTGTATGTATATTCCTACAGCACTGCCACAGCATTTTTCACATTGTATGAAAAGGTTCTCAGGAACAAGAACCAGGAACATCTTTGTATTTCCAGCACTTTGCAGAGGATCAGAATCCAATACGTAATACATGTTAGTACAATTACTAATAAACTTCTAAGACCTAAATCAACTTCACTGATGGGAAAACTCATCAAGTAGGTTAACTCAGCTAAATTTCCCTTTCCTTTCTAGCTGGTTAAACATACCGTTAGCGAGCCTATCATTTTGTATTTGAGTTGTTACTTCTTTGAAGTAGAAAAAAAATGCCCGATGCCTTTATGCTAACCATGGCTCCGATCTCCACAAATCTGTATTTTTGGCCACCAAGTGAGAAAAGAGTTATACTAATGAAATTCATATTGCTGGAAAAATAATTTAAAACCCAAATTATGGGAGAACATTCAATACACGCCTACAGCTAAAGTGAAATTTGAATGTGACCTGTCCCTATGTAATATAGCTTACTTTTGTATTATTGGCATAGGAGAGCACTGCCTTTAACAAATGTACTTTAGAGAATGTGAGCATATATTCCCCTGGCAAAAAATAAAAGCAGGCCTTCCTAGGCCCTACTCAATATTCTGAGTAGTACTGAATGAAATATTGATATGAGACCATCAGGATCAGTGAGTTTGTAAAGGAAACATAAAGAAGGAGCAAAAGAAATAGGGGAAATTTACATTACTGAGGGCACGACTAGTCTTCACTAGACTTTAATTAGTTTGAATGAAAGGACTATACTTGTACTAGGAACACTTCATTTATAATGGTCGTGTGGACAGTAAACCCAAACACTTCCACCAAATTAATGGTAAGATCATAACTTTGTTCAAAAGCAGACCTTTCATACAGATCTCATGATATTGCTATTGGTTGAATTGTGTCCACTTAAAATTTATGTGTTGAAGCCCTAACCACCAATGTAATAATATTTGGAGATGGGGCTTTTGGGAGCTTTACATGAGATCAAAAAGGTGAACCTCCATGATGAGATTAGTGTCCTTATAAGGAGATGCTAGAGAGCTTGTGTGCTACAGGTATTCTCTCTCAACACACTGAGGATAGGGTTGCCTGTAAACCAGGAAGAGAGTCTGTACTAGATACCAACCATGCTAGTACTCTTGATTTTAGACTTCCAGCCTCCAGAATTATCAGAAGATAAATTTCTGTTGTTTAAATCCACTCAGTTTATATGGCATTTCGTTATAGCAGCCTGAGCAGACTAATACAACTATGCTCTAAGAAACTGTACTATCTGGCTAGAACTCTGAGCTAAAGATCTTTAGTCAACAGTTCTCTAAAGCAGGAACCATGTCTGCTCTGTCTGCCAAACAGAGTTTTACATTCTCACTGGGTGACCTACACATATTTGAATGAATGTAATTTTTGAATACTTCTGCTTTAGTAGTACTGCAAGTCATGGGGGTTGGAAATACAATGATTTACAAAGTTCCTATCTTCAAAGAACTCACTGTCTAACAGAGAAAAGATAAGTAAACCAGAGGTCATAATAAAATTTGATAAATGTGATAATAGCATTTCAGGGGCACTCAAAGTAGAAGAGTAAGGAACTACTTTTGTTAGTGTGGTTCAAGCGTCAGGAAATGATTAACTGATTAGTGAAGGGAGAAAATATAGTGCTTTGCTTAGAACATTACTGAAGCGAATATTTATAGCTGAATTAAATTTCTATTTCTCTTTTGAGTTCTTAAGATGCTTAAAAATTATAGGTATTTAAATATACCACTATCAAATCATGAATCAAAATGTATGGTATTAGTTTTACTTCCAACAGTCCACTAGAAAAAAACTTACAATTAACATTAAAGTTCAAGTTGGAAAATAGGAAAAATATTTGTTAGGCTCATATTTATCTTAACACTGCAAAATTGAACAACCTCTCATTTTTCTTTCATAAGAAAAAGACTGAGAATTTTGTTTTTATAAATAATGATAATTTATAAATCCCTCACCATTTCAAGATTCTAAAAAGTTGTACTAATTCCCAAAGTATTTAGCTTGTAAAATCTCTTATATAAATAAACATTATTGAATTGTGCTTGAGACACAAGGTCTCAACACTAAGTTTTTATAAAAGTAACAAATGCAAAGAAAATAATCATGACTTACCTGCATAGGTTTGGTAAGTGGATCCATTCTGACTAAATATACTTCCAAGGTACGTTCTTTTTTCATGGGCAATGGAAGTGTCAAGTAACAAAAAGGATCAAATGTTACTGAAATCTTAGCACATTCAGGACAAACTAAAGTTGATTTGAAAAGGCCGTGAAATATATCTACTATGATAGAATCATTTCTTTTTAAATGGTTTTCCCAGGCTTCTTCAGCAACTATCTGTAAGAAAACCAGACACATATTACACAAAGATATCACATTATTATAAAAGTGGTGACAATAATGACATTAAATTTACCTTATCTGGCCTTCCATCTGCATCTTTTAATTGTATATACGGTTTTTTCCTAATTCTATTCAAATCTTCATGTAATCCATCTAATAGGAAAGCTAAAAGCTCTTGACAGTCTTGCTGCTGGTATCCAGAAAACTGAGGTGCAAAACGTCCTACTTGGGTCTGTAAGAAAAGCAAAAGTATAAAATCAGTTATAGGGACAAGATTGATTTTAAAAAAATTGATTCTCGGGGATCCCTGAGTGGCTCAGTGGTTTAGCGCCTGCTTTCAGCCCAGGGCATGATCCTGGAGACCCGGGATTGAGTCCCACATCGGGCTCCCTGCATGGAGCCTGCTTCTCCCTCTCCGGGTCTCTGCCCCTCTCTCTCTCTCACAGAGAATAAATAAAATCTTAAAAAAAAAAATAAAAAAATAAAAAATTAGATTCTCATCATTCATTGATTTCATATTTTGTGAATTCATGAACTGCTAAAATCAACTTGTAGCACTTTTGCAGTCATTGGCAGATACGGTAATTACACATACATAAATATAATTACATATCTAAATATACATATATTTTAAATATTTTATTTATTTATTCATGAGAGACACAGAGTAAGAGAGCAGAGACACAGGCAGAGGGAGAAGCAGGCTCCCTGCGGGGAGCCTGATGTGGGACCCAATCCCAGGACCCCGGGGTCACGCCCTGAGCTGAAGGCAGGGGCTAAACTGCTGAGTCACCCAGGGATCCCCTCTAAATAATAAATAGCTAATCTGTAACCCAGAAACGAAATGCTGACCTGAGCAAAGAACAAGGAGAAAATATGGTGAAGTTTTGTACAAAGGATTTGGAAATACTAAAGACTATTAAAATTCAATAATATTTCTGGATCACTATAAAAAATTACAAAGTTCTCATTTAGTTGGTGTGTCTAAAGAGGATAAATCTCAGGGATAACAGGAATGTTTGTGTTTATATATAATTTTCCTAGTCTTTGCAGTACTAAGTATTTTTTTGATAAAACTGAAAAGAAATGTGAAAGAAAAGTCAGGTATCTAGAGACTGTTTACACATAATTTCAAAAGACAATATCCAGTAAAATAAAACTAACTGGAATCATGGGTAAGGGTTGTAAAATAGTTTGTCTAACCTAGCTTGTCCAAAGCTCAGAAAGTTAAAGAAGATAAACACAGTAGTGTTTTATTTTTTAAGAACTACTATATTGTTAATAAAATGTTGCCTAGTAGATGTCTATATGAGCATCATTTAAGTTGTGTTAAAAAACAGCTGAAAACTGCTATTCTCTTTAAAATAGAACTCACCTGTTAATAAATATGAAGACTTTTTAAACTATATAAAACTAAATTTCAGCTCAATTCTTATTTGAATGACAAACTAAATTATTTGAGGTTTTATTGGTTCTGAGAAGTAACCACAATAAACTTAAAAGTTTAAGGATTATATTAAAAATATTTAATATGTGGTAGTTTTGCATACCAGTTTCATTTCATTAATTTTTCAAACTTACGACTCTCAAATTGAGTTCTTAAATTTCGATGACATGCCTTGTAAAGGCTACAAATTTAGCCTTTACATTTGTAATAAAAATTAATGTAGGTTTCTCAGATACTATATTCTAAAACCAACTTACACATACTCTCTTGTCATTTTGTACCATAACAGTGTTTTCCAACCTTTATTTCATTATTGCCCTCCCCACCCCCCAGAACCTTTTTGGACATTTTAAAGTAAACATCTGTCCCATCCCCCCATCTAGAAAATTTAACAGCAGAGATATACTGTGTATCTATTTGTGCTGGGTCCCTATGGAGGGCCACAAACCAACCTAACAGTTATGACTTTGTCACTCCTTCCCCAAAGAACCTATTTTTGTCCTCTTGGGGATGATACAGCCCTCACTTAAAATATATTTATTATACTAACCTTAAAGGCTCTTGGCGTGACATAGCTAAATTTTCCAGACCACATTTGTTTGATCAATTCAGCATAAGATTTAGCTATTTCACCTCTCATTCCTAAGGGATTGTCAAAATTCAGTTCTTCTTGATACTTATCATTGAGGAAGTATTCAGTAAGTGGAGGTGTGTTGCTCAAACACTGCAAAGAATAAAACACATTTTCAAGTGAAAGTAACCACACATTAAACATGTTAAAATGAAGAGAGAAACAAACTGATTTGCCACAATATACAGAGAAAAATTTAAATGATGGCTTCTTGAACTAATAAGTAACCGGTTAAATAAACACTCAAATGATGTACTCAACTATTCATTTCCCAAATTTCAAATCAATTACTTAGAATAAATGAAAATGCTAATATTTGTTGCTGTAAAATCTGCATTAATTTTAACCACAGCAAACTACCTGTTAACTGGGAGAGAAGCTCAGAGTTTTCTTTCCTTCTTTTACTTGATTGGTAGAAATTATGGTTTGTCTACTCATCCCAGGCACCTGCAAATTAGCCTGAGTAGGTAAAAACTGAGACAGAGTGCAAGCAAGAAATTAACTTTAAAGAGGTATTTACTGCTTCCAATGTCAATTCCTTATCATGAAAGAGCAGCCTTTACATTTTCCATTTGGTCAACCACTTTTAGAAGGGACAGTACAGGTTAGCTGAGCCCGAGGAAACCAACTTTTGTTATGTGAACTCTGGCTAAGTGTGCTTTTACTTCAAGTTCTTCAGTATCAAAACAATCCAATTTTCCTTTATGGCAAGATTAAAACTATGAGTAAGTTAATTCTCCAACTCTTTTCTATTTAGAATTAAATAATTTAGGATTTAAAATAAAATAGATGGCAGAAGTACAGTTTTTCCACAATATTTTATCTCAAGATGAATGATTTTAAGTTGATAATACCATACAATTTGACTTAATTATGAATCCAATATTACTTTATCAACTAGATGTCTAGCATCATTAAAAAGAATATGTAATGACTGACAGACAATATGGTTATATAGGTCTTTTGTTGTTGTTGTTGCAGGAAGAAATTTGTTTTGGGAGTCAAGTGGCAAAGTACTTTAAGTGAAGGTGGTTGCTTGCATGGAAGGAGTAGAAACCCATTCTTAGGAGAGCCCAGATTTATATGAATGGAAATCAACATTTTTCAAAGCTTGCTTTACCACTAATTTGGTTTAATAGTCTGGGATCAAAGTCTCGGCAGCTATGAAAAGTTCAACCTGCTGGGTTCATTCCAGTAACTTCGGTACCATAAACTATGTCTATATACCATGTACGGTTTGGCTAAAACTTCAAAATTAGGCATGTTCTTTTTTTTTGAAATAAATGATAAACTTCTATTTAGTGGTTTCAATTATGAATTAATTTGTGTTTATGCAAGTAACCATAATATCTATTTTAATATTTTCAATGGAATAAAAAAATACTCCTCAAATTGGCAGTCTATAATGTCACGGACTTTGTTATAATTTTTCAGCAACGAAAGCAATATAAAAGCAGTTTAAAATGTTTGGGGTAGAGTATATAGACCTTAGCTTAATAAGCCATTTTTAGCAGTAACGAAGTTTATGTGAGCAAGAGGAAGATAGAGGTAGGTTATAGCATAGGAGGCAATTTGGGAAAGGATACTTTGCTACTTCTGAACTCCTTTTATACTTCAACTTTTCATAATCTAACATACCTTTTAAGATTCATTCTCTTCCTTTTGTACTAAATGTTCTTTTTAGTTATAAACTCAGCACTAGAGGTAGGGTCTGGCAACCCAGAATATACCATGGCTACCCTAAAAGCCATTACTTAGTAATATCATTTGATTTAGTACAAATAGGATCAACACTATATAGTCAATGAGGCAAAGAGGAGGAAGTCAGACAGTATTTCCAACAATTATTTTTCAAATCCCTCTTATTATCGTTTTTTCAAATCCTTGTATTGATCAGTTCAGGGTTAAGGTTATACTAAGAATCTGATATTCCACTACTGTCTGTAACACCATTATACAAAGAATTTATAGTTTTACCAAACTAAGAATCAAGTTGTACAAAACAATAATTTTTGAACTTTCTCATTTAACTGTTTACATGTATCCTTATCTTGCAAAGAGCTTCCAAATATAATTGAAAATTCTGTAGCTTTCCAATAGCATCCAGAGTGATCTTCCTAAATTTATTATCTAATCATGTCACTTCCTTGCTATAAATCCTTTAATAACAATTTCAGAGTAAAATCTCAAGTTTTTGGAAGAGTCTGTCTTTTGCCTACCTATGTAGCCTCATGTTTTGCTTTACCTTTATCTGACTCCATCAAAGTCTTACTTGATTACTTGCGGTTCCTTGACCTCCATGCAATCTCTCACTCTGAAAATTTGCAATATCACTCCATCTATGTGAAATACACCTTCTTTGTCTTACTGACTTCTACTAAACCATCAAGATTCAGGTATCCTGTGTAGGAAATATTCCTAAATTTCCTTACAGTGTTCCCTCCTGTATGTTTCCATATTGCATAATGCTCACTTTTATTACAGTACTTATTTTATAACATGCTGTCACTTTAATTTTTAGTTTGTCTGTCTTGTCAAATGGACTGAGACCTTCATGAGAACAGGAACCATTATATCAATTATATGTATATCTCCAGCACTCAGAAGGTGTATATTAAATGCATGATTAATAAAACATGTTTTTGCCTGTATTTTTTACAAATGTTTTTATCCTCTTGGTTTTTTACTCTTTTCCTTCAATGTTAGGCACAAAGTAATTAAAATTTTCTTGAATGAATTATTACTAAATGAGGCAAAAATATATTAGCTGGTAATGAATAATCTCAAAGATTCTCCAAGCACTTTTATCTGAATATTAAGCCAAAAGAAGAATAGTACCTATTAAAAACTTTCCCATGCTTTTGTGCAACTCTTAATTTTGGAGCCCTGAGTTTGTGTCCCACATGGAGTGTAGAGATTTTAAAATAAATAAATACACTTAAAAACAAAAACAAAAACCCGTCCCTTTTGTTTTTCATTTAGTCCACTACCTGCCTTTTAGTGGGGCTCTATTTGGATTTTTAAAGTCCTTGACACAGGGACCAGTGATTATTTTCAAAATGATACCTGCCATTTTGAAGTTGACAATAATTCAACATTAACAAACTAAATAACAACAAAAAAAAAAATCCCAGTTTTAAGTGTTTGTATTACGTGTCAAGATATCATAACTAATATATCTTATATTTAAATTTAAAGCATTAAGTCCTAAATGACCCAAAAGAGCATTCTAGTTGTTAAACATAATTTTTAAAAAATGTAGGTGTAGTTGATACAATGTTACATTAGTTTCAGGTGTACACCAGAATATAATGCTTTAAGAAACTCACAAGCTGCATTTAAAAAAAAAATTTATACAAACACATAAATACAGAATTTTTTTATAAATACAGAAATTTAATAGACAGTTAAGTATTCTACTAATAAGGCAAATATCGTAATAGCTCAAAATATCAGGCTTTTCTTTCTCATACTGAAAATATCTCTCTCCCTTACCTTGAAAATAACATTATTCTTGAAATAGTATAAAAACCACCTAAAATATTGTAAGTTCTCCTATAATTTTGACTATAAATTTCACGGTATAATTAGAATACAGGTCAAACAACTAAAATATTTCCATGCCTCAAGTGTTATCAGTATTCAGTGCCATCACTGTGGCAGAAGAAAGAAGGTCATTTCTTAAAATTGATCATAATGCAGTAATTTATGCAACTCATTCCATCTTTTAACATGAGGCTATCTTAGAAACATAAACATCTTTGACAGTTAAAAGAACACTGAACACTTGGACTTCTTGCCATAAAATACAATGTTTTAAGAATAAAAATTTTGATTAGTTCAATAATAAAAACCAACATAACCATACGTCTAAAGTATCTCTCTCAAAAATTCCTCTATTATAACAAATATCACTCTTCTATCTGACTGGGACTGTCCCAAAACAATTCCTTTCCTAAGACATATATATATTAAAAGCCCTACATAGGTAGACATAAGGCATTTCCTTTCTAGCCTGTAAAATACTTTACTGAGTGACGTAATATGGACCTAAAATCACACGACATGTGCTGTGCACCTATGTGGATATATTTTTCACTCTCCATGATTCTTGAACTGTGAAACAGAACAAAACTCATCCTTTCTTAACATACATGGTTTTTCCTAGTAAAATCTGAGAAGATAGATATAAATCTATCACTGAAACAAAGGGATTAGATCAATAATATTAATACATTATTTCTGTGGGTACCTATAAGCTTTGTGACATTCTATCAGTCACATGACATGCTGAGCTTCAACTCTGTTAATTCAGATTTCAACTCCCTGCCACTGACAAATACCAACACCTCAGTATTTCAGGGAGAACTACCTCTTACAACTCATTACCAAAAAAATGAGGTCCAAATATGAGGTATTGTGACTGATCATAAAAAATGTATCTTAAGCCACATTTTGTTTATCATAATGGTGCCTATAGTTGTTCCCAAAATTGGGTAGAATTTTGTCAAATACCAAGCTAAAAGTAAAGCAATAATCAGAATGAAGAAAAGAATTCTGCACCAATGTTTCAGTTCTTAATGTAAAAGAGAATAAATAAAACTAACAATAATGAACAAGCAAAACTGCACTTGTTAACTAGGATAAATATTTCTATACTTAAATATTTTTTATGATTCCTAGGCAAATTTATAGTGTGTGAATTCAAGAAGAGGATCTGAAGATCTAAGGATTAAAAAACTAAATTTCATATTTAGTATATGTTAGAGTTCTGGCATTCATTAATTTATTAGCTTTTGTGATAAAATGACTAGTTGGTTAACTAGAAGGTTCAGGATATAAGCTAGTATGAAAAATTATTGATCCATGAAGAATGAGAGACTGCCTGGGAATGTGCAAGTCAATCATTTTGTAAGCAGACATGACTGCTAAGCATCTGTTCCTAAAAGTGGTTCTGTGGTTCTCTACTTGCGCTTGCCTATGCATTTACAATAGAAACTGTAATAAAGAGTATTTTTGAATGTGAATCTGAATTAGGAGTCTTAAGACATAGTCCTTAGTTTAATGTATTAAGATTGAACCTTAGCATGTAC